AGGCCGAGCTACGACTCCGTCTCCAGCGAAAGTCACATTAAATCCAGCTTGTAAACATCACACAGTGCATTACAGAGCAGCGCCTTTCTTGTTGTCATTACTCAAAACGCGATGCTTTCCAAAGCAACCCCACCTGTAATATGCACTCAGGAGGTACTGTGACAAATGAAGCTAAAATAGTCTGAGCTCATTTGGAATTCACTCTGCAGCATCAGCAGCTCGACCACGAGGCAAGTACTGGAAATGGACTTTGATCAATAGCAGCTCTGCAGGTTTCCCTTGACGCCATCAAACCATATAACTATTTAAAGAGTTCTTATTGTTTTAGTTCACATAATTACTGTACATCTTCAAAAGCCAGGGGTTTTTCTGCTTAAAGGGGGTTTTTTTGGCACTCCAGAGAGTTTCTAGACAGAGACGAAGGGAAATCACAAGCGCCAAAATGATAAAAATATCTGTTTTAATCAGTTTTGTGATTTGGGGTTTGATGTACTCGAGTGTAATTCACATTTTAGGTTATCAATTGCAAAGATTTCTGTCAGAAAAAGAAGCACAGATTCAACTGTTTACGAACAAATCATGTTGTGCAGTCCCGTTCTGAGCCATGAAAAACCAGGAAACTGGCCAAACATGTGAGAAACGTGACTTAACGTTCATCATTGAAATCATTGATCACCGTCTCTACAAACTCTGGTATTCAGACATAAATAGAAGCAGCAAAAGGCGCATTCAGATCACAGTATTTTCACTGCTTGCATGATTTTAAACACTGCTAGGAGATCCCGAGAGGAATTGATTTGTTTTTCCAGCTTGGGGCTTTGTGAGTTCAGAAATGTGATGGTTGACTGAAATACAGCGTCATTAGTTAAAGGTGGAGTCCGTAATTTTAATCCAATACACTTTTTTTTTAATTAGATTCAGTGAATATGTCCACATACTCCACTCGCTGTCAGTTGTCTTTACACTGAAAATAAATCTGGTGTTTGAACACAGCCCTGCTTCTATAAATGGGAAACAAAGAACTAGTAGTCAACCAATTGTCAAATCCGACACTATCTTTTTTTTTTTTAGATTAAATAAAGATGTAAATTAATTCAAAGATGCACTTCTTTGGCTCTGATGTAGCCACTTCTTCCTGTCTGTAGTGATTCTGTGGTCTTCATTAATGTCCTGCCCTCTGATTGGTTAGAAGTAGCAACCAATCAGCACCGAGGAGTAAATGTCTAAAAGTTCTCTTTAAATTAAACATAAGTAAAGCATAAATAAATATATTTCATTTCAGTTCTGTGTTGGATATTGTGTTCTTTAAAATTTGACACCAATATGTTTTTTTTTTTTTTAAATTACCTGCAAAAGGATGTTTATTAAATCCAAATATTGGTCTCCTTAAATTACTAGTAATCAATATTGGGATTAGGACTGTGAAACTATATCAATTGACCCTTTGCCTGGACTGATCTGTTGCTAATCTAGAGTGTCCTGGGGCAAAAAAAATAAAAATAAATAAAGATCTGTATTCAGGAATAAAATGGTTGCTATCTAGGTAGCATATTTAAATGTTGGCATATTTAAATGTTAACATATTTAAATGTTAGCATACTTAAATGTTAGCATATGCTGGATTGACTGTGCATGAGGACAGATGTTCATGAGCTTAAATGTGCACAGGGATGTTAAATCTAGCATATGCTGACGTCTAAATACGCTAAATACGCGGATTAAAACATTTTTTTTCCCTGAACCTTTCAGTCTTCCACTGTGGCACTAACAGAGACCAGATCCAACAGCTACTGGACCAGAATCCAGTTCTAGTGAGTTTAACCGGTCAGCACTGAGACCCATACAGCCGCTTAGAGGGACAGCGACAACGATGAATCAGTTTATCGATCAGTTAATTAATCAAATACTCCAACATTCATTTTTATTACAATCAGTCTAAACTCTGTGATTTCTTCAGTGTGAATACTTTCTGGGTTCTTTCCTCTGTGACAGTAAACTGAAGATCTTTGGACTAAACAAGACATTTGAGGAAACTCTGATCCACATTTTTCAACTTGCAGACTTTTGTCTTCATGTTTTTTTTGCTGCAGTTGGTGCTTCATTTATTCTTCATTTTGCATTTTTTCAACCAAAAAAAAAGACCCTAATATCTTCTTGATATAATCAGATATGTATATATTATATTACACATTGTCTTTTTCCCAAACACACACTCTGGATAAACGACATCCAGCTAAAGCAGTGTTAACCTCCTTTTATCACCTTATTCCTTTTTTCTAAATCTGTACATTAGAGATGACGTAACGTGTCACACGCCGTCTCCTCTGACAGAAATAAGTCGCTGGCAGGATTTCACAGAGCGACTCTTCACCCCGTTAACCCACCTGAGAGGAGCAACGTGAACGTTTTAGCAGCTCTTTGAGGAGGCACACTGCGATAAACGCGAGCTGTTTGGAAAGAGCAGCTCCGTTAGCTGAAGAGCTTAAGCGTCCCGTTGATTCACAGACGCCCTGCGTGGTGCCTCACCTCGTTTATCTGACTTACACGATGTGACATGACGGTTCGCTCTCCGGCTTCTCTTCAGCGGGCGACTTTGTCAGAGGAGTCCATTAGAGAAGTTTGAACGTTTCATCTCAACCTCTTACTGAGACATAAAAACAACAAAGAGGAAAGTTATGACTCTCATCTAAACTGTCCATTAGAGTCTGAAGGCCTAATTATTGGCTCAACTTTGACCTGCCGTTCTTAATGTTGTCGAGTCTGCCAGCAGTTTTCGACTGCAGCTATTGATCGAGTGACTATAATGGACATTTTCAAACGTGCTGATGTTCCTGTATTACACTGTGGAAATGTTTACGTGGATAGGATTTCACCATCTATCTGGGTTTGTGTGATTTATTATTGCACCATAAAAACTTAAGAAGTGACTCGGCTGGTGAAGTAATGTGTGAGCTTGATGCTAGAAAACATGACGTCCAGTTAAATAATCTGCTATTTTAGCAGAACAGCATCACAGAATGTAACAGAACCATCAAGAAAATGACAGTTTCAGGAGACAAACCTGATTTTAAACTGACTTCCAGTTGGTAGCATGAAAAAGTCTGGTCAAAGTTTCTCTTGCTGTGAGTAGTAAGTAAAAGATGCCCTGATTTCCAAAAGGCATGAAGTTAAAGGCGCCACATTTCTTCATTGTTTTACGCAGGACGGCTGCTTTTATTTCGTACAGTTTCTCAAAATGACAAAGAGAAAAAGAGCCCGAAGCAGAAGTAGTAATACCCTCTTTGGCAACTATCGCAGCCTGTAAATGTTTTTGTAGCGGCTCAGAGTCTTTCACTTCTTGTTTGGGGGGATTTTAATCCGTTCTTTCTGCAGAAGGCGTTCATGATGTTGAGGTTGGGGGACTTTAGGTTCAATATCACAACCTTCAGCTTGCACTTCTTGAGGGAGGAATGTGGTTCAGATCATGATTTCGTTGTTAAAAATCCATCCTCGATTCACAGACGGCATGAGTTTTGTTTTCAGCATTTTGAGTCCGTTCCTCTCTGCACCAGTAAAACGTTTCCCAAACGTCGCCACTGGCTGCGACTCAAACCCAAAGTCTGATCAATCCACCTCTGGGCTGAACAGATGGAGACGTGGTATAGTTCTCCAAACATACCTTTGCTCACTGCAGCCAGAAAGTTCTCATTTATCTTCAGCTCATTTCCAGTTGATTTGCAAACTTCTGTCGCTAAATGTTTTGTGGTGAGGACGCAGGAAAGGTTTTCTTCTGGTGAAGTAAAACCGCGACTCCAGAGCAAAAATAAAACGCTAATCTTGCCTCAAATTTGACTTATAAAGTGTTATCTTTCTTTTTCGGACATCAGTTCATCGTCTTCTTTACATTTAGACCAAATTTCTGGCATTTCACGGCACGTCTTTGTCTTTCTTTAGGGCCCAGATGAAGCCATGCGAGTTCAAAGAGGTCTTGGAGTTTAGAACAAGTGGGATAAATTGGGTTAAATCTCCCCAGTTTGCATCATTATTAAAGAGCTTTCGTCAGTTGTCAGGTCTGATTTCTCAGCCTTTGTGCTACTCGTCAGTCCAGACGGGTCACGTCTTATCAAGCTTCGGTTCATTTAGCTACAGCACACATAGACAACCGCAGTCGCAGGATAAAGAATGAGCAAATCTCCACCTGGTTCACTCTAAATCTAAACCTGTGTCCTGATGTCTTGTGTTGTTTGTGTGGTGGCTCCTGGGATGAAATGTTAGAAAAGCCTACGAGAGTGTTGTTAAGCCAAGACTGAGGCTCTAAAGCTGGATCTTATTTAATCAGACCTTATCAACTCCTTTCAGCCTCCCAGCAGAGCAACAGTTGAAGTTTTTCTTTTCTCTGTAGTTTGCTGCTTAAAAAAAAGAAACCACATTATTGTCATCGGTCGCTCTTTGGTACGTTCCCGGCCAACATTTGTGTCCATCCTCCTCCAAACTCCCGCGTCTCCTTCTTCATCCTCCCTGTCTTGGGACGAGGCTCGAAGTTCCTCCCCCTCAGCTGGGACTCTGCCGGTTACAACGAAACAAGATCCCTTCGCTAATTTACGCGTGTGTTTGCCTGAGACGAAGCCTTTGTGTATCCGTGTGCGTTGGCTTTTTACATCCCCGTCCTCCTAATCTCCTCGCCGCATCCCATCATGCAGGTTTTAAAGTCATTAACTTCTCTATCGGAATTTGCCGGCAATCCGCATTATTGTGCGGAGATAATTGGATCAGGCTCTTCTCCTGGGTACACGTGTAAGGTAAAGACGCCAAACCGTGGCCTTGAATCGTCAAACGATCTGCGACTCGACTCCGTCACGTATTATTTAGAGAAACAGAAAGCAGCTCAGGACGACCTTGGAACTTTTTCTCTGTTGTTCTTTGGGAAGTTTGAATATTTTTTTTTACAGCTCAGAGTTTCCAGCTTCCCTCTCTGCGGTGTTTCCTCCTCTCTGATGAATCCTTTTTCCTCCCTCCCTCAGGAGCCCCGTTGCGGTCGGACACGGTTGCTACTGTCTGGCCCTGCTGAGGTCGGTTCCCGCCGCTGCCTACATCGTGCTGGTTACCGTCCTGCGTTATCATCTCTTCATATGGAGCGTCTTCTCGCCCAAACTGCTGTACGAGTCCATGCACCTCCTGCTGACGGCGGGAGTCTGTCTGGTCTTCAACACCATGGAGCAAAGCCACAGCTCAAGTAAGTCTTAGGGAGGCAAAGACTGAAAATCTCCCCTTAAGGGCCAAACTGTGCAGAAGACTGTAACGCACTACAGTAAACCTTCACCCTCATCCACCTCCGTCTGTTCACAGTGTGTGAGTAGATGCTGCAGAAACAAGAGTCCATCTGAACTTTAGGAATGCACTTGTACTGTATTTGTTTTTTGAGCAGTTTATTTAAATATTTCATTCTTTCCCGGAGGAGAGACGTTTGAGGATGAATAAAAGTGAGCTGTTGTAAAGATTTGTGAAGAAGAAGAACTTTTTTTTGTTTGTTTTTGTTTTTTTTAAACTGTAAATTACCTCAGGGACGAGCGTACGGTGAGCGACTCTGTGTAGGAGGACGGCGACGCTCCCAGCGCTTGTTTTCGCTGCACAGTTGCTTTCGCTTACTTCCGACTGAACTTTACTAGATTGAAGCTGGGTCGAGCGATGCCTGGAAACTATGCGAGGTCAACGGATTGTAAAGGCTTTCTGTCACGGCGGGAGGAGCACAGGTGTAGAGATAATAAAAGCAATTACGACTGGATTCCATTTAGCTGCTTCAGTTTCAGGGTCCCGGTTTTGTCCCTTTTGTTGCGCCGACACTTGAATAGAACGGAGCCGTTGTTAATTTTATTATGTGCTTTTTTTTTCCCCCATCGTGACACGTCTAAAGGTCTGCGGCGAGAAAAAGGTGGACTAATTACAAGTTTGTGTTGTCTTGACCTATAAGGGACGACAACAGGAGACGTCAGACAGGTAGAGAGGAGTTTAACCAGGCAGCAGGAGGAAACGCTGCAGCCATTTCTCTTAACAACATCCTCAAATATTGGGTTAGTTTGGTTGTTTTTATTCTGATCTCCTGTTGCTTGTGACGTTTTGGAAACGGCGACACAAAGCTGCACCAGATGAACTCCTGTTGGTGTGAAACTTCCCCAAAGTGAGCTGGTTCATAGATTTTCTGCTTCTTGAAAGTGAGATCAGCAGTTACAGTTATTTCTGTTTGCTGCGTTTATGCGAGACAATAAAGTAATTTTACGAAATTAACTGCAAAGACCTTCCTCTCAGATGGATGTCTGGAGAAAACTGTGGACGATCTGAGTGTTTATTTAACCGAAAATTGGGTTAATAATACATTTGTGCCCTAAGAGGTTAATAATAAGACATTTTCATAGCAGCCAGTTTGACATGAAACAGAAGGTAAACACAGGTGTTGGTCCTAAATCCAATAGAACCTTCATTAAAGTGAAAAAAAAGAGTCGTTTCTTGCTTTAACTTGTCATTATGAAGTGCTGTAAATGTTGATTACACAATGTAATGGCTATAGAATAATGACACCATCAGTGTTTGGACCGGTTCCCAACTCTGTCTGCCGCCGCCGGGACGGAAAACTCCCCAGAAAGCCAGAGCATGATTTATGGTCACAGGAACAACCGGAGCATCTGTGGAAAGTGAACCTGAAAGAAAAAAGAGCCTCTCTGTCAGAGGAGGCAAAGGAGAGGGTGATAGAAACTGAGGTAGAACTTCAGGCGGTCGCTCAATTAGCCGACCTCCGGGACCGACAGCGTTTCTGCCGGGTCAGTGATCGGGCTGAGCGATGGATCAATTTCAAACTGAAGTCTCGATTAGAAACGACGCAGTTAGCAGATCCAGAGGCTGCAGATTAGGATGTGTACGTTAAGCAGCATGTCGGCTTTATTTATTAATATGAATACTTTATTTAACCTGGTGGCAGAATGTATGAGAATCCTGTTTTAATGTCAGAGGTTGTTGACAGAAAAGTTCCATTATTATTATAATTATGGGATTTTTTTTATAATTATGACTTTATTAATTTAACTTTACACAGTCACAGCTTTTGTGATAATTCTTCTTTTAAAATATGTATTAAAAACACGTTTGAAGCCATTATTGATCATATTTTGATGGAGTCTCATGTAAAAGTGATTCATCACATTTCATGTCTGTGATTTTTCTCACTGAAGGTTTTTTTTAAAAGCATAATTTGTCAGATATCATCGTTTAGCCCGAGTTTGTAAGTAAGAAAACCTTCATGTTTAATCATCTAAGCAGCTCTTTACTGTCTTTAACAATTTTTATTTTTTATTTTTTAATTTTCATTTCATTCATTGAGTTAAAACAATTAAACACGACACAAACAGAACTCCTGAATGAAACGGAGCAGAAAGAAGAATAGTCTTTTGTTATCTGCCCCCTTTACCCAAAGAAATACAAAAAACCTAAATTACAAACAGCATCAACAACAACACAATAAACATCGAAACATTCCCAACAAAAACAGTGATGACAGCATAAACCAGCCGTCCTTCAAAGTCACGTTTTACTTTACGTTTTCTACTTCTTCAAACCTTTGACGTCACAGGTTCTGTTCGGGGTTCCTTTAGCCTCGTCGCTAACGCTGCTGCTAACCAAGAGGTTCTTTCTTCTCACCTGATTGTCGATCATTTTGCATCCCGTGTTCCTGGTAGCTGTAAAGTCCTGAGGGAAATGGAAGGCAGTGCATTTATTGCAACCGTAGCACCAACAGTAATGGTGCTTGGAAACAACTGAAACGAGATAAAAACTCGTCTGTCGCCACTTTAATGAAAGTTCTGAATACTGCTATTTAATGTGTAAACGGCTGCTGTGCTAAAAAAAACATCATTTATTAACCTCTTACGGCTTAAATGTATTCTTTATTTATTCTTTTGCACTACAACATAATCTGATGTGTCTAGTTTCCTCCAGCGTCTTTAGCTGGTTACACTGAAGTCACTGCAAAGAAAAAAGCACATATGATGTAAAAAAAGGGTTGTAATATACATTTTCTACTTTAAACTCATATTCTTCAAGTTTTAATTAAGCTTTAATTACTTAAGCATCAGTTTTAGTGCTTGGCAAACGTTTTTACTGCATAAAATAACAGCCGCCTGCGAGGAGCGCCAGACTTTTTAAACAGTTTTTAGCATTTCAGTGAGAATGTAGCTGTAGCTGCATTAGGCACGTGAGAAACAATCACTGAGTTTTAAAAACAACTTTGAGACAACACACATTCCCCTTTGTTCATTGTTAGTTCCCATGTTGTTCGACAGGAGATGTAAAAATGCCAAAATCGTTCTCGTGTGGATTTGGATGCTTCAGTCGTAACGTTTCCTGCGTCTGGCAGCGAACTGCAGGTTCATAAACATCCTTAACGTCTACTCAATCTACTCCCTCAATATCTGAGAAAACCACCAAAGCGAAGCCGGCCAGTACGCTGGCACCGATCCAAAGCAATAAGAGCATTGAGCCAAAAAAGCAAACAACGTGTCGCCGTCCAAGTACGTATGGAGCTCGCCGTGTTATTACAGAATCTGCTCGGACTCAAAACTGGTGCCCCCAAGTTCCATCCAACCTCCTGAACTCCCTGCTTCTGTTGCATCACTCCATCGTGTTGGCTCACGTCATACAGCCATCTTTTATTTCAGCGAAACGTGAGCAGAAAGTGGGAGCAGATTCTTCTTCCCAGCTTTTTTTTTTGTTGACTCATGAGCGTCTGTGATGTCAGTGAACAGCTGTGACTACTTCAAAGCCTCTTTTTGATTATAAACCCGGCAAATTCTAACGTCATCGCCCTTTGAGATTTGACCCGGTAAAGAAAAAAGAAAAAAAAAAAAGCGAGTAGAAAGATTGAGTGTTAAAGCTACAGTGTGCAACTTTTCACCTCCAGGCGGGAAAGTGAATCGTAAGTTCCCGCCCCAACACTTGTCACTCACCTTGATGAGCTGTCTGCCTTGAAACGGCATCACGCCCGAGGCTAAGATCACTGACATCCCCCGAGCTGCCACAGGCGTCGGAGAAGCAGATGCCAAACCAGGAAGAAGAAGGAAAAAAAAAAAGAGTGAAAATGAAAAAAAAAGAAGCAGTGCTGCTGTTCGGTGTGTTTCTGAATAGATTTCGTGTGATGCAAGACGAGCTCGGCGCTTTGTCTCGCAGTCGTCGCCGCGGCTCACCTTGACAGGGACCTCACTGTCGAGTGCGCTGACAGAAAACGGAATTTAAATGTCCCGAACATCATTGGGAAGTCAGACAAACAAGGGGATTTGCATTTGAATGCACAGAGTCGGAGGCAGACACATGCTGCATATGGATCACGGCGGGTCAGCCGGTTTGCGTCAGAAACAGGAACGCGTTCGGCTTTTAGGGAGAAAAAAAAAGGTTCAGAGATAAATTGACCCTCCTCCAAAGTGGCTGTTGTCAAGTGCCTTTTCCTCTCTTTAGCCGAACAAGAGTCTCAGGCTTCAAACGAGGTCTGACGTAAATAGTTGATGAAGCTGATAATAATCTACATCACTCGTGAGGATTCCTCCGTCGGGGCTCGGTTTGCTTCGCTGCACCGCGCTCGTGTGTCGGCCATCGCGGCGGCGGCTTCACAAACCGAGCAGATGTTATCCGGAAGTTTCTTCTTCCTTTGTGCAACTCGCTCTCTGTGATTGTTATTCTTGGAGGTGATTTAGAATCATTTAAAACGAGCCGCTTTCTCAGACGGGGATTGATTTTCTGTTGCGAGAGATAAAAATGATTGTCGTTATGGACTACTCACTCAGTGGGTTTTCTACAGTGCAGAAGATGAATCGTGTTCGACGGCGTAGCATCCATCTGCATCTCATCAGCCCCCCCGAGATAAAGAGTCCTGGGCCCTGCTTCGTAATGCTGACCAGGAGTCTGAGAAACTCCTGGAGCTATTTAGGGACACTGAGCTGTAATTTAGATGCTTTTTTCCTTCATCTGTTCATTCTAAACAAACCAGGAGTGTTTGTTAAAGAGCCCATATTCTGCTTTTTGTTTTTTTTTTCCCTTTTTTTTGCACATAAAAGGTCTGCAAACTTGTAAAGTCAACACCAAAATCGAGCTTTTTCTCCCCCCACAGAATTCACTTTGCTGCCTGAGACGCCTGGTTTGAAGTCCAGGTGACTTATCTACATCACCACGTTACATCATTTACATAATGCTCACTGAGCTGCTAGTTTGAAGACCGAGCAGCTGCCGCGTTATTTCCTCACTGGAGCTTTTTTCTGCTTTTACTCCGAGATCTGCGCTTAGAATAATAATAAAAGTTTTAAGATTTTATTTGAGCAGCACCTTTCCCTTGAACATTGAAAATGCATTAAAAAACTATAACAAACAAATAAACTGCAGCAGTAAATATGAAAAGCATTAAAAAGCAAGCTGGTGTTTAATTATAAATATCATATATATTGTTGTAGGTGGTGCTAGAAGAAGGCTGGTGGTGCTTTTAGGTGCTATTTCAAAGTTTCAGCAAAGCCTGCCTCTCTAGTTTCTTCGGGCGTCCCACAGTTTGGGAGAACAGCTGGAAAAAAAAAACATTTGGGTGAGTTTTGGGCAGCTAGAAAGCATCAGTAGAGGATGTAAGAGCTTGTAATTGGACATAAGGCAGCAGGGAATCTGTGATATTGGCCATTAAGAGCTTCGTACGCGAGTAAAAGGACGATAAATTTAACTCTATGAGATACGGGGAGCCGCCGCAGAGCTGCCAAGACTGGAGTCGAACAGCAGAGGAGCCGTTTTCAATTCACAGTCACAGTTTAGGAAGACATGCGCTACGATAATGTCGACTGTTTGGTTTGTAAACAGCATTACTTTGGTTCGCCGGCTGACCAGTCGGAGCAGAAGTCGGGCCTTAAAGAGACAAGAGCTGAGAAGAGATGCTGCAGTAATGTGCAATATGAGGACAATACTGAGCATTAAAGTAGTAAAAATGTTCTAGTAGACTCGAAAAATAAGATTACAAACCATAGACTGTATAAAAGATGGACGTAGCAACCGGCCCTGAAATATGAAGCCAACCAGGAAGTGTCAAAAACCTGCAATATCACTACGTCCACTAGCTGCTGGCTCCAAAAAGCCCTGGCTCCCATAGACTAGATCACGAGATGCTGCATTCCTCCAGCTCAGGATTATTTTCCAATTAGTTTTCATGGTCAAATCCAGAGATCAGGTGGCCAATCTGAAAATAAATCAATACTGAATTTTTAAAAAAATCGTCAACATTTTGCGGGGCAAGGGGCGTGGCTGGCTTGATTGACATCGACGATGCAGACGAAGCGAGCAGAAGGAGGTAAATGTGGGCGGGGCAGAGAGGGCCCGCCTCTCAATCCGTCTGACCAATCACTGCTCCTATGGCTCCGCCCCCGATTTTTGCGTCACTGGCTCCAAAAATCCAAGATGTCAACCAGGAAGTAGCAAAACCCTGGCTTCATTTTCTCAGTGCAGAAACCAACGGGTGACGTCACGGCAGCTACGTCCATCTTTTATACAGTCTATGTTACAAACCAGAAGATGTGCAGAATGTGGGCTCTGTGTACGACCTACAAGACTGTGAGTAATAAGATCCACCAACCTGTCATGACGAGACAACGAGCTGCAGTCAGGTGTAAGAAAAACAGTTTTACCGACACAAAGGTCATCACTTCAAAAACACGAGGGGGAGAATATCTAAAAACAGACATGTGGGTCAAAGCTCAGCTCACAGAGGAGAAACACATCCCCATAATTGTTTATTTCTTGTTGGAACCTCACAGACGTTTGTAGAAAAAACCTGTCGCGTGTCTGCAGCGGTGCAGGAAGAAGCCTCAGCGCCGCGACTCACAAATCTGATGGGGCGACGCTTTGCGTGTTAAAACCACCGCTCTGCATCCAAACAGCCAGCAGCCCATGAAATGGATCGGAGTAATTGTTTTGTTCACGCGGCTGACAGCATGTGTTGTGCATCAATACTGGACTGTTGTTTGTTTTTTCATTTCCCTGATCCTG